TTTCAAGTTTTTCAAACTTCGCTTTCTGGTGAATGGCACTACTGCGGTTTTATCTGAGTTAATAACTCAGCCCGACAGTCCTGCACCATTTCTCAGCGATGCGGAGTCTTCGTTGGAAAATATCACACAGGGTGCCTTCATGTTTCCCCCGTGCAATGATGACTATGTCATCTGCATACCCTATGCAGTGTATTCCCGCTAGAGTTAATTCTTCCAGTAGTTCATCCACTACCAAGCTCCACAGTAGGGGGGAGGTCACTCCACCTTGTGGAGTTTCTTGCGTTGTTTTAATAACTACGGTTTTGGTACCTATCTCAGCCTCTGCTGTTCGTGTTGAGAGCATTTCCCGAAACCAGCGAATTATTTAATACTGTTCACCCCTCTTGTTTCAAGAGATCGCTTGACCACCTTGTGAGGTATATTGTCAAACGACCCTGCAATTAAACTAGGTATTCCACAATATTAGTATACAATAAATATATATATTCGTTCTTTGAAAATCTGTTACATCTCTAAAAATAATCTAAAATGTCAATATTCCATGGGTATATTGATATATAAGGTCTAAATTATAAGAAAATATATTTTCTACAAAAACTTAAAGAGATAAGTAAAAAATGGTATAATATAATTCTATAGACAATTAAATTATGCATCTGATTCTCGTAAAATATGCAGGGTGTTCTATTTAAATTTAACAAGTTATTGCTGTTTAAAGCTAGTAATTATTTAAAATAATCTTTTAGACATTCTGTATAAGGTAGTATTATTTTTTGTTATTGCAGCACAAAATTTAGTAAATAGAAAAGCTTCAGTACAATATTTGGTTTTAGACACTTAAAAAACTTTTCAGCATTAAAATTTTTACTGTTTTTTCACATAAACGTAAATATTTCATAAACGGTAAGATCAGCCTTAATTAAATTTGCGTTTATTTTAATCAATTTTAATCCTAGAAACTAAAAATGTAATAATATACAGGGTGACCCATTTAAAAACATACAACTATGGTATTTTTTATGTAATGTAATTGTAGCTTTAGTAGTCGTCCAACGATACCGTCACTCACAATTTCTAATGAGGATAGAAAATATACCATTTGAAGAGCACTCGGAAAAATAATGAAAGTCCATTTTTTGCTAATTTGATTTTAGTACATAATATTTTTCGTCTTAAAAAGCTACATCTTTTTGTACCTAAATAAACGGGAATATCCATAACGGTCACATAGAAACAGGCATTTAAAAATTGGAAAACCCATAAAAGTCCATACGTAATTTAAATTAAAAAGCGCTCTCCTGAACATTTATCATTTTAAGATCCTCATCGATGTTCCCATGTACTCTTCATTTCTTTAACATTTTCACATATTTAATTGTCATAAAAACTCCATAGTAATTGGTTTGTTCAAGGAAATAAAAAAATTATAGAGAATATATATGTGAACTGCTCCACTGCTCTATTTGACAAAAACAAATTTACAGATAATATGAACAGATTAACATTTCAGAACAATTTCACATTTGGCTGAAACACATATTTTATCTATTTATAATCATGAATAATTTTATCTATATAAATTTATCTAATTTTATAAAATATGTAATAAACAAATACTCAATAAATTCAATTCCACTAATACATAATTTACCCTTCGTTTACTCCAGGTTAAGTAACACAAATGTGGTCTCACATGAATTTATTTAATAAATTATTAACTTATTGCAATGTGTTTCATAATATAAAAAAATACAAATAGATATTTAAATAAAATATAAATGTTTTTACATCAAGATGTGTGTATAAAATTAATAAACATAATTTAAAAAATTGCAGTAGGTATGTATATTAGTTATATTAGAATGTTCTGGTAATCTAAAACTTTTTAACAATATAGCTGCGTTCGACATTACAAATCGCAGATGAGGGCGGGCAGAGGCCGAGTTAAATCACGTGATTGCGGAGTACTCAGATATGCGATTTTGAAGACGAACGTTTTCGGAGCTGTCAGAGCCTTTCTGTTCAAAAATACTATAAATATAACCTATTTTCTGTGTGGTTCGGTGATATAACCTCAATTAAGAAAAAAAAAGAGAAAAAGACTTTCCATTTAAATCTGCCTAAAATGGATATAAACACAGACCAGGCAATAGGTCTGATGTTAAATTTTGCGAACAGTATATTTTTTGACAGCAGTGATAGTGAAACAGAAGTAGAAAGAGCTCCAAGGGTACAACAATATGCTGAAGAAATTGTGCCACGACTTTCAGATAATACATTTAAATCTCATTTTAGAATAAACCTTTGTACATTTGAAGACTTACTTGGCAAGTTATATAGCGTTTCTGACTCCACAGTTCATTGTGGAACAGTGCCTGTGCCACTTGATAAGCAACTTATGGTTACAATTTGGTGTTTGGCAAACTTGGAGTGTTTTCGGTGAGTTCTATTCTCAGAGTTATATCAGAGGCAATATGCAACTTTTATTAACCATGGTAAAATTCAAACCTTGTTTTAGATCTGTAGCTGATCGTTTGGGATCAGTAGGAGTACTTGTTGGAGCATTTTATACAGAGTTTGTAATCTACTGCTAAAAGTAAATAAGAAATTTAAAATTATTTCTTGGCCAAGTCAAGTAAGGGCAGAAGAAATTGAAAGGGAGTTTAGGGCCATTAATGGATTTCCAGGTAATGTTAATTTGGTTTTCAGTTAATTAGTTATGTTTCATCTAAATGTTTATAGGAATAATTGGAGCAATAGATGGGTCCCACATAAGGATTCTGAAACCAAAAGAAAACCTAACTCATACTGCAATAGGAAGAGCTACCACTCAGTTTTATTGCAGGGGTATGCGACAACAAAAAATTATTCTTGGACGTTTACGCAGGGGGAACCTGGGTCTATACATGATATGCGTTTATTTCGAAAGTCAGACCTTAACTCAAGAATAAGAAATGGCTCTGTGATAATTTCAGAAGATCATCATCTTATTGGAGACTTGGCATATAAGTTGTCACATTATTTACTGGTTGGTTTCAAAAATAATGTAGTTTTAACCCCTGCCCAAATTAATTTCAACAACAAACTGTCACAATGCAGAGTAGTGATAGAAAATGCATTTGCTCTTCTAAAGGGCAGGTTTCGTCGTTTAAAGTCTTTAGAAACAACTAGATTGGATCTAATCCCACTAATTATTGTATCAGGAACTGTTCTTCATAATATATGCATATTAAATGGAGATCTACTGGAAGATATTGCAGATTTACAATTGGAAGAAGAGATTTTAATTGAGGAAAATGTTTATGCAGTTGTTGATGATGTAAGAGAAGATTTGCAAGCAGTTCGAAAGAGGAATAATATAATGAATGCTCTACTAATGAATTAAAACATTATAAATAATAAAATTCTATAAGGAAATACCCCCCAATTTTGTTTTATTAGTATATTTTCCTTTCTTGGCACTTATAATATATTAGTAAAAAGCTACAGAAACTATTATTTTTAATTTAATTTAACAAAATACAAACATATACATACAAAATGTACAAAAATATAAATACTTATTAAAATGTAAACAAATTATTTTATTCTTGCTTTCTATTGCTTTGTTGGCTCTGTAATATATCAATATATTTTTGAAATAGGTTATTAAAACAATCCTGTCTCATCATTTTTTCTTTATGTCTCCTCTCTATGCTGTTAGACCTGGCCGAAGATTTTCTCTTTTTAACAAAATTAGAATCTTGTAGTGTCTCCTCATTTTTATCTTCTTCATTATCAGTAGCACTCTTCTTGAATATCTTTTCTCCTGACTTATTTACTTGCAATCCAGAGCTGCTGCTGCAAGTAGCAACTGGCAATATTTCTGGTTTCTTGAAGAGAACAGCATGCATTGCATCAAAGAACTCCCACTTTCTTCTTTGCTTGCCTGAAGTATTATTGTGATCTACAATTTCACGATATATTTTTGTCAGTCCTTTCCATTTGGTTTCACATTGCTGCCAAGTTAAGGTAGTTCCATGTTCCTCGTTAAGTTGGGAAGAAATTTTTGTCCAAATATGTTTTTTTACACAGGTTTGAAACTGTTCATCTCTTTCACTAACTAAATTGATGAAATATAGAGTTAAATCTCTGGTCCACAATCTCTTACATTCTTGTATTGAATTTGTAGAACAACTTGAATCAGTTGGCGAAAGAGGACTTTTTTTATCGAGGAGTTCTAAAGTTGAGTTATTAGCTTCTATATCTTCATATTGCAAATTTATAGGTTCATAGGTACTTTCTACAAATACAAGTATAAAAATAATAGTTAATTTAGGTATTTCGGTATTCTTACCTTTTTTATTGAAAATATATGTTTCATTGTTTATTTTATGTATCTCTGTATTTTCATCCAGAATTTCAATCACGGATACTACAGCTTCCTCCATTTTTATCTATGAATCTAAGTTAAGAAAAAAACGTTTCACCGTGGTATTAAAATCTCGTATAAGTAATTATTCATATGCTGTTATAATGTAAAAACCAAACTTTGATCTGCTTTAAGTCCCGGCCACATATTATTCCCGGCTTTAGTTCACATTTGAGGTTATATTATTGGATTATTGCCATAAATCGACCGGATCGACAAACTCAAACAAATTTCCCGCCTTTTTTTCGTTGGAGCTCGATAAGCTCCTTCAAATTATCCGGAGGAGATCGAGCCCGCTCGGAGCGCTCGCAAATGTAATACCGAACGCGGAGCAGATTGAGAAAATCAGAAAGATCTGCAATGTCGAACGCAAAAAGATTGATTAAGCGTTCGAGGAGGTAATAGATTTGTAATGTCGAACGCAGCTTATATAAGTTTTACCTATCATAATATTATATTATATTAAAAATGTATTCTAGATTTAAAGAAATATTGAATAGTATTCATGAAGACTTGTTGCAATAACTTTGCATGAAAATTGAGGGTATACTAAATTGAGTATAGCCTAGAATTAACAAAATAAACTTACTTTTTCGGGGCAAAAATATCCGAATCCAAAAATACCAAAGAGACACAAAGCCAGACAAAAAAGACAAATTTGCTTCAATCTAGACGACTTTGCTTCCATTTGTTTAATTTGATAAACACCATTAGGTAAAAGAAGAGCTATGTCACTGTCTAGTACTTGTACAGATACGTTCTTCATAATTTAATCCATTGAACTCCCCTTTAAAAGTGTCCAAATTTTTTTAAAAAACATAATTCGTTCATTGTTTATGCCCGAAACTCATTTATCAACTGGCTCAAAAAATCAAACAGCACAACTGACAGATTTGACTTTGAGAAAATTCTGACAGCTGACAGTTCGATTGACAGAAGTCAGTGTCATTCTTCTTTTTAAATTTAGTAACATTGCTATTATCATATATATTATCGTGAAACTCTGTCTGTAACTTGGTCAGGTTGTTATCTCTGTATTTTTTCATTTGGAAATACTGAGTGGTGAGTAAAGATTTGTATTAACTAAAACGTAAGAGCCCTTAATCGGTAAAAGCTGCTTAACATTTTAATATCTGTTATTTTACAATTGCAAAAAAATTGAAATTTTTATTTCTAGGTAAATTTGTATAATTATATAATTATATATGAGTCATATATAATTAATGTCATATTCCACTGTTGAGCTTCAACAGCTTTAAAAAATTTACTGTGGATTTTCGTTTTTATTCAATGGATAAGTAAAATTATACTTAAAAAGTGGTAGGGATCTGTGGTAGGGATTTGTAGAGTAGAGGGGAGAGAAAATTTCGAACTTAAAACCAAAAATAAAAATTTATTTATATATTAGATTTCTGTCTTTTATATGCTGTGAATACTGTGATGTACATTTACTCTATTCTGATATAAAATAGACGTGCGTATGTTTAACACTTTCAGACTTTCAAGACAGTGTTTCCAAAAGTTTTTATTTACTTCTGCAAATTCAAAATTTAAATTTCATTTAACAGGTGATTAGTGATATATAGGATCATTATTTTTACATTTCTGTGGATTCCAGTTGCTTTTTTGAATTAAGTTCAAATTGGTTTAATATATTTAATAATTAATCAAATATTTAAACCAGTACTTTAGTCATCTTTCCTTGTAGCAAGCAATAGAATGGCAGATAAAATAGATAAAGAGGAACTAAGAAAGAAACTAACACCTTTACAGTATCATGTTACACAAGAGAAAGGCACTGAAAGACCATTTTCAGGTATGTATTATACCAACCAGTTTTATATTCTATTTTTTTAACATTACTGTGTTATTGAAGGATGTTACAATAAAGTTTACGATGCTGGTACTTATGTCTGCATAGTCTGTCAGCAGCCCCTTTTTACCTCAGAAACCAAATACGATTCAGGTTGTGGTTGGCCCGCTTTTAATGATGTATTAGATCAAGGAAAAATTAAACTCACTCCAGACACAAGTGGAGGTATTTTAATCTTAAGCTTAATATGCTGATAAGAAATAGAAGATATTTTTAATACTAACCATATAATGATTCAGCAAAATAATTTTCATTTTGATAAAAAAAGACTGTTTATGGTCTGTCTTCTGTAATTTATTGCATAAGATAATCATCTGTTTTTTTCTTTTGATTATGTATTTATCCTTAATTTATTAGCAGCCTTTGTGCACAAAATTAAATACATTGAAAATAAGGATTTCTTTAAATTTCATAGATATAAAAGTTTAGATTATCTACAATTATCATTTATTAATGTTACGCTGGTAATGTTAAATTATCATATTTATTAAAATTAACTTTTTTTTAATTTATGAAAAGTTTTGCTGGAGAAAAGCTACACTAATTTTACAGAAATAGGTATTTCTACATACCTAGTTAATTTAAATTATTTTTTTTCGGTAGCACAAACATAAATATTTAATAACATCATTGTTGAATTATCGATGATTGTATTAAGTATTTATAAAAGATACACAGAAAAATTGTATTTATTTATTTTTTAAGTTAAGATATTTTAAAGAGTTTTATAATAATTTTAACAGTGTAATTAAAATACATATAAAACATTAAAATATCTTTGCTTAATAATAACTGATTTGTTTTCGTATATGCAAATGCTATTAATTTTAAATATTTATGTCCAAAGTGAAATGAAAAGTATGGAACTTCCATAATCAGGAAGTATATTATAATATTTTGGAAGGAAATACATTAAATTAGTGATAATACTAATGTACCTATAAGATATCTCAGTGATAAGAATAATTAAAATGGAAAGTTTTTTAGATAACATAATATGCATCAACATTGCTTTTTATTATTCTTTAACCACATTACTCTAAACATTTACTGACAAATTTTTGTGGTATTGGGTGTAGATTATTTTCTTAGAACGTTTTATTAAGTAATATTTGTACTAGAGAGTACTAAGACATTTTTATAATACTTTCTTTAAAGACAAGAATACCTATATCATTTTTTTAACCAGCTTTGACTATTTTTTATGCACCAGGTGGTTTTTGCATGATTAAAAACGATTAACAGCATTTAAATTGTATTTTATAGTCTTTTTCTTATTAGCATCCCTCTACTACTTTAAATTTATGTAGTGAAGTGTTGTGTACTTATAAATATGGCTTCCGTTCGTTACCGGAAGTTAAATGACTAGAATTTATATGGAGAAAGTAAAGAGATGTAATATAAAATAATCATAATAATAAAAAACGAATTAGAAAGCAATGTGTAGCATGTTACAAATGATCAATATATGGAGCTGTTTGAAAATTTAAAGGAACTTTTCCAAAAACGTTTTTTATCGGATGTCCTGTTTGAGATTTTAACATCAAACTGTTTATAAATTATGGATTAGGGTGGTTCAAAGCTTATTTTTACATAAAATTATAATTTTTTAATGTATCCTATACATATATTTTTCATACTGAATTCTCTAAAATATCCATTTTAGAAATATAATGTAATATATCTGACATTTCTGTAGATAATAATTTTAGAATATAAAACGATATCATCTTATATAGAATGAAATTTCATTTAATACAAAAAAATCTTTTTTATACCGGGTGCGTCTCAAAAATGGCTCCTATAACTTTTTTATTTTTTCAGATAAAAAAAACGAGATTTGGTATGTTAGTATATGACATAAATTAGGATTGAATGGCGTATTCAGTTGTTTTTGGTCACTTCGTGCTTCACCGGAAATGACTACAACTTTTGATTTTTAAATGGCACCCGCGGTATATTTTTACTTTATTTGATAGAAAATGACACTCAGAATAGAATTACGTATCATGTCAACTTTTAACATTTTCGCTTACAAAAAAATTGCATTTTAAATTTCAATCTAGAGTGCCATGGCTGTGTTAAAAACACAAATTTTTAATCAAGGATCCTCCTTAATAAGATATTTTAACCTGTCTTGTCCTGGCCGGTTAAAAGATGCCCAAATATTGCCCCTAATTTTAATCACATCTCAATTTTTTCAAATGAAACAAGGGTGGCTCATTAGCATATTTGGGAAAAGAATTTTTTTATGAATAATTTGATACCATACACTTGGGATTTCGAGTCAAATTGTCGTTATGAACGGCATGTTACAATTTCAAATAAAACATATGCGAAAGTGTCAAAAGTTGACATATGATATGTCATTCTATTCCGAGTATCATTTTCTATTGAATAAAGTAAAAAAATACCGAGGGGGTCATTTAAAAATCAAAAGATTGTAGTTATTTCCGTTGAAACAGGAAGTGATCAAAAACAATTGAGCGTCCGGATTGTACAACGACCTTAGCGCGTGGCCGCGGGCAGCTCAGTAGGTAAGCGAGACAGCGACGCGCTGATTTAACAAAATAAATAATTTTAAACTTGCCGTCGTTTCGTTAATAATTATCGTATCCTGTTGATTTTTGCATAGAAATACTCAAGAGTCTTTAGCGCTTCCGACAAGCCTAAATAACTTGATTATTTTTTATATTTTCGATTTATTTACATTGCCCGAGCATATTATAACTTTGAGATAAAAATCTCTGTTATAAATTTTAAAACTGACAGATATGAATACTATCATTTAATTAGTTATACATTTAGTTACAACATATTCAAAATTTAGGTCTATCGGTTTATGCTAGCAGTAATGACGAGTATAAATAAAAAACTGGTCAGTACAACGCTCGCCGTTTTTAGCGCACGTTCAGCTTTGGTTTTAGTTTTAGCGCTATTTTTACAGAAAATAAATTCTGAACTTTGATGAAATGACAAGAACATTATTATTGCCGATATCTCCTGGTTATAATGTAGTCCTTTTTTCAAAATATTGCATTGTTTTAGCTTAAAAAAAAACTTGAATTATGCGGCTTTTTTGCGAGAGCTACCGGAGCTGCGTTAATTAAGAGATGGCTATGTACGTCATTCATAGCCACAATAGACTGTAATTTTACCTCGTCACGAGATTTTTTGAAAATATTGCACTTCCATTTATCCGGATTTCTAATAACTTTTGACCTTTCTTTTCGGTCGCATTTACCTCTATTTAATAATAAATAATTTAAAAAAACACAAATACTACTGGTAGTAAACAAGCTGTGGCAAAAATTTTCTATACTCCGTGTAAACAAAAGACTGTCGCAAATACTATCTTTCGATTGACGTACATAGCCATCTCTTTATTAACGCAGCGCCGGTAGCTCTCGCAAAAAAGCTGCATAATGCAAGTTTTTTTTAGCTAAAACAATGCAATATTTTGAAAAAAGAACTACTTTATAATCAGGAGATATCGGCAATGATAATGTTCTTGTCATTTGAACAAAGTTCAGAATTTATTTTCCGTAAAAATAGCGCTAAAACTAAAACCAAAGCTGAACGTGCGCTAAAAACGGCGAGCGTTGTACTGACCATTTTTTTATTTATACTCGTTATTACTGCTAACATATATCGATAGACCTAAATTTTGAATATGTTGTAACTAAATGTATAACTAATTAAATGATAGTATTCATATCTGTCAGCTTTAAAATTTATAACAGAGATTTTTATCTCAAAGTTAATATGCTCGGGCAATGTAAACAAATCGAAAATATAAAAAATAATCCAGTTATTTAGGCTTGTCGGAAGCGCTAAAGACTCATGAGTATTTCTATGCAAAAATCAACACGATACGATAATTATTAACAAAATGACGGCAGGTTTAAAACTATTTTGTTAAATCGGCACGTCGCTGTCTCGCTTGCCTACTAAGCTTCCCGCGGCCACGCGCTAAGGTCGTTGTGCAATCCGGACGCTCAATTGAATACGTCAATCAATCCTAATTTATGTCATACACTATCATATCAAATAAAAAAGTTATAGGTGTGAGCCACTTTTGAGACGCAGCCGGTAGAGTACGTAGAATACTATCTAACATACTTATAAATGAGAGTTTATTGATTAATGACTTTTTATTTTTTTAATGAAAATGCGATACCACTTTGGACATAAAAACGGGGTGTCTGTTTAAGGTTACCTTGATTATACAGGGTGCGTCTCAAAAGTGGCTCACCCCCCTATAACTTTTTTATTTTTTCAGTTAAAAAACAACATTTGGTATGTTACTATATGACATAAATTAAGATTGATTGACGTATTCAATTGTTTTCGGTCACTGCCTGTTTCACCGGAAATGACTACAACTTTTGATTTTTAAACGGCACCCTCGGTATTTTTTTACTTTATTCGATAGAAAATAACACTCTGAATGAAATGACATATCATATGTCATCTTTTGACATTTTCGCATATGGTTTATTTGAAATTATAACTTGCGGGTCGTAACAAAAATTTTATTCGAAATACCAAGTGTGTGATATCAAATTATTCGTAAAAAAATGCCTTTTCCAAATATGTTAATGAGCCACCCTCTTTCCATTTGAAAAAATTGAGATATTATTAAAAAATACGATTTGAGCATTTTCTAACTGGCCAGGATAAGATATTAAAAACATTAGACGATCAAATCTATTTTTCCAAGGTTCCTTGATTAAGAATTGGTGTTTTTAACATATCCATGGCACTCTAGAAGAGAATGTCAAAAGTTGACATATGATATGTCATTCTATTCAGAATGTCATTTTCTAGCAAATAAAGTAAAAAAATACCGACGGTGCCATTTAAAGATCAAAAGTTCTAGTCATTTCCGGTGAAACAAGAAGTGACCAAAAACAATTGAATACCTAACCCTAACCTAACCTAACCAACCTAATCAATCAATCCTAATTTATGTTATATACTAAATACGAAATCTCGTTTTTTTATCTGAAAAAATAAAAAAGTTATAGGGGTGAGCCACTTTTGAGACGCACCCGGTATATAAAAAAATAAATTTCTTTTTGGATTATGTCATTCTTCGGACAATAGATATATATTTTTTTGAAAACTGGTTCCTGGGGTTATGGTCCGTAATAAAAAAAATA